CCGGTGCCCTTCTCCCGCCGGAAACGCTGCCCTGCTGGGCAGCCCAAGACAGCCGCAGCAGCCAACCCCGAGCGGCGCCCGCGCGCATGTTTCTGCTCTCCGCTGCTGCGGGCACAGTAGTCCCTCCTCCGGCGCGGCGGGTGGAGTTTGAGCATGCCCAGCAAGTCCCTCGGAGTTGCCTCCGCGCGATGCGGTCTCCGATCGAACCAGAAAAGCTGGGCAGGCGTTCAAGGAGGGCAGAGTGCGAGGCATCGCAAGCCGCCGGGAAGGGAAGGGGGAGGCACGATCGCGTGAGCGGGGAATGGTTGGAAACCTCTGCGCCTTTCGTAGGCGCAGGAGCGTCAGCCTCTCTCACCTCGCTGGCCTAGAGCTCGTGCAGGCTGCGTGGGGCCCCGGAGGAGTCAGCCGGGGCGCTCTCATGCTGCACGGGGGCGTCCTGGCCCCGCAGGCAAAAGCGCAGACGAAGCATGCGGGGAGCTGGCACCCCCAGCACCTTTGCTTGGACCTTGCTTTGCTTTCCCACATGCAGTGCAAGAATTTCTCTTTTGAGAAAGGAGAACGTGAGGGCACATTTAATTGGGAGTGCTGCTGGGGGGGGAGGGAGGAGGAATCCATGTGCTATGCTTGGATTCACATAGTGTGCTAAGCCATACGCCTGGGCTAATAAACCACAGGGGAGTGGGCGGCACAATGCTAAGTTAACACTGTATATTCTTGGTCACTGCAGATGGAGCCAATAGGAAAAGGTGAACTCGGCCTCTCTGGCTAAAAGCAGGGCTAAAGGCTGCCTTCTGGTTTGTGGAGAGAACTTTTCAGTCTTTTGTGCTGTTTTTTAGGAAGAGGCCATAGAAATCAAATAAATAAAAGGAATGGCATTCTCATTAAGTCTGTTGGAGGGTAGAGCAATAAACAAGTCAAAGGCTGGGCAAAGAGGAGAGGAGAGCAGCATGTGATTGTGGATAGTGCCCAGTTGTATGAAAGTGGCGTCTGATCACGTGCTGGTAGATTGATGCACCCACAACAAGCCATGGCTAAGAAAAGAACCACGTCAGAGCCAACTCCATCAGCCAGCCCCAAGATCCAGGCCGAGCCTCCCAAGGCAGTTAAGAAAAAGAGGAAGCATTGGTATTGAGCCTGTCAATGGCAAGACCAAAGGCCACCCAGAACCTTTCTCTCCACTGATGGGCAATGGGCCAGGCAGCAATGACCTGGCAGCCTGAAAAGACACTGGGCAGAGCCAAGAATGGTGACCCTTTGATGGCCATACTTTGTTGCAGAAGGCAGAAAAGGTGGTGCAGCAGCTCCCAAGCTCTCCAGGCTGTTCTAGGCAGGAGAATCAAAGGATGCTGGAGGTAGTAGTATGTCTGAGGAGTGGGGATGAGCCGGCTTAGTGATGCCCAGCATTGCAATTAAGAGTCCAGAGGAAGGGCAGGTCCCAGGTCTTAGTAGAAAGCAGGGATAAGAAGAAATCCTTGCTCACTGAAGAGGGAGGAAAGCAGATGCAGAACAAGACCAGCACTGTATTTTTCTGCCGGAGACTGTATTCTGACTGTTTGGATAGGAAACAAGGAAATGACTGCTGGAGTTCCTAAGCCTATCAACAGAAATACAAGGGTGAGGAGACAAGAACCACATAAGACTGGTGATGGAGGTAATATGCAAGTGGGTAGGTAGATAGATACTCCTCCTGTCATCACCTATTTATTTACTATGAAGTTACTATCCCAAAGCTGGAGGTGAAACCAGATTGTGAAGAGCCAGAGGCTTTTGAAAGAAGAAAGTCGACATCTCTAGCCTTCTACCCTTCAGGCTCAGCCATCTGCTACAAGCCTATTTAAATCAGCAAGGTGGATCCAGAGAACCCCTGGGTCTCTCAACAGCACAACAGACCAGTTGAGTCACCAGCACTTGTTCTAGGAAGAAGGGTTCCTACATCTGGAGATTTCCACAAGAGCTTAACAAGAGAGGGATATCCTTCTGTCAAACTGCTCATGACAACAGACAAATGAAGTACTACTCCCAATTTCTCTTGGGTGTTCATTTCTGCCAGTTATAAAGGTCCAAACAGGAAATTTTCTTCCCTAGTGGAACTGAGTGAGGAGCAGTATAGTACCTCATGTAACATCCAGACATCCCCTCTCAATACCTGATACTATACCCAGACCTGAACTACCTATGTTGAAAGGGGACATTTCCTGAACACTGACCTTCCAGGCATAGTAGTGAAAACCATCTTGACTTCATGATGTTTGGTCACCATCAAGAGTTATCAACTGACTTGACATGCAAATGAGGTTTGGTGCAAAAATGGAAGCTTGCAGCGTTGGCAGTAGGGGGTTTGGAAGTATTGTGTTTCCTAAAGGAGGAAGTGGAGAGGGTCTTGTAGCAAATTTGTTGCATAGATAAGCAGCTGCCAGAGGTGGTGTTCTCCTGGATGGACAGGACATCTGTCTCTGGCCACCAGCATGTGTGCTACTTTTTTGGAGAATACTCTTAATCCCAGTGATTTGCAGTTTCCTTTGATAGGACCTGTTATCAGTAGTCAGGGCTGTAAGAACGTCTCCCTTTGAATCCACTAGGTGGTAATTGCTGAGAATTGGATTGGGTTGGTTTAGGCAACAATTGCCCACCTTTCCTATCAGAAAAGCAAGTAGTCTTGCCAAACAAAGGTAGATCTACTCCCATTCAAAGAAGAAAGAGCCAGTTTGGTCTAGTGGTTCAAGCACCAGGCTAGAAAG